TGAAACGTAGGTCGGCGAATCGCGCGCAATAGCGTTCAACAGAGCCAATTAGCGCCCAATGGCGCACAGTAGCGCCGAAGAGCGTTCAGATTGCGCCCAAAAGCGACCAACGGCACCTCATAGCGCCATGTGAAGGGGATGCAGAATGTCCGCTTCGAGCGTTAGTGAGCGCGCTATTGGGCGCGCTATTGGTGGCATGGGGACGACCACAAGCGTCCTTGACATGCAGTCGGGAACTTCTGCCCAGTGTGACGCTCCGCTGGTTGTGGCCCACCACGCTCTGGCGCGACACGGTAACCGCTTCCCAATCCCCATGCGTCAACGTCCTGAGCCTTTTCCCGCCTCCCGCCCCGCGGAGCGGAGGAACGCGATTTCCGCCTGCAGAGCATAGCGTGGCGCCGGGGCCGCCGCCGCGACACGACGCAAAAGCGCCCGAACGCAACCCCTGCTTGTCGCACAGGCAGACGTGTCGTTGGGGCGGGTTGGGCGTTGCGCTCGAGATTACCCAACGCTCTATATGCTCTTGAAGCTTGAGATCTCAGCCAGCTGCACGGGCGGATGGCGATGCCGTTTCAAAATTGAGCTCTCGCCGAGGCGCTGTGCATGCTCGCTTTCACAGCTCAAGAGTCACAAGGACGGCTGGTGGTGCTTTTGCAACATGAGCGCGACGGGGCCGCAAGCGAGGAACCCAACTTGCAGGTGGCCGCAAGGTCTTCAACACGGGAGAAAATGCGTGCGCGGAGGGGGTGGGGCCCAACATGCCCCTGGCGCGTGCGCGCGGGGCACGTGTTTCCACGTGCCCACGGGGCCCCAGGGAGACTTCATTTGGGGGTGGCAAATTGTTCGCACGTGTAACTTCATGCGCGGAGAAGGGGGGAGGCAATGTGCGCCTGGCGCGTGTGCGCGGAACACGTGTTTTCACATGTTTCGGGACACGACGGGGCCGCACGACAAGTACGTGCGCGGAGGAGGGGGGCCTAACGGAGGGGGGGCCAGCAGGCGCCTGGCGCGTGCGCGCGGAACATTTGTTTTCATTTGTCCCGGGTCATGATGGGACGGCAAGCGAGGGACGCAGTTTGCAGGTGCTGAACTTTCCAACGCGTAAAGGAAACGTGAGCGGAGGGGGCGGGGCCCAGCATGCTCCTGGCGCATGCTCGCGGGACAGGTGTTTTCACATGTCCACGGGGCCCCAGAGGGACCTGGCTTGGGGGTGGCGGGCTCTTTACACGTAGGATTCCGTGCGCGGAAGGGAGGGGGGGCGACGGAGGGGGGGCCCAGCATGCGCCTGGCGCGTGCGCGCGTCGCACGTGTTTTCACGTGTTTTGGGGCAGGGGCCGCAAACGAGGACCCCATTTGCAGGTGCCGAGTTGATTAACACGTCAGAATCTGTGCGCGGAGGGGGGGGGGCATCGTGCCCCTGGCGCGTGCGCGCGGGGCACGTGCCTTCACGTGTCCACGGGGCCCCAGGGGGACCTCATCTGGGGCTGGCGAATTGTTGACACGACAAACTGCGCGCGCGGACCCACCATGCGCCTGGCGCGTGCGCGCGGGGCACGTGCTTCCACGTGTTTCGGGCCAAGACGCGTCGCAGGGGAGGGGCCCAACTTGGAGGTGGAGAGTTCTTCGCACGTGAAAGTACGTGCGCGTGTGCGGAGGGGCGGGGGCCAACATGCGCCTAACATATGACAGGCGTCGCCGTTCAGGAGGGGGACGACGATGATGAGGAGGAGGAGGAAGATGGAGGCAGGATGATGATGAGGAGGGGGAAGGATAACGGAGGAAGCAGGAGCACGGAGGAGGATGAGAAGGAGGAGGTGGCGGAGAAGGACGAGGATGATATTCAGGGACAAGCAAATGGAACAGGTCGCACGCGCGCCAGAAGAAAGCTTGATTGCAGCTTCTTACCGGGTTCGTGGATCCATGCAAATTGCAACGCTTGTGCTTGACCGGACGCTTGAGGGTTGATCGTGCTCGAAGTGGGTGTCACGGTGCACGCAGCCTCGGACTTTGGTGTGGTCATATTTCTCTGCACTTCTTATAAGTAGCTAGAAGCATGGAGGGTAGACCGAGGGTGCACCCAAGGTGGATCATTGATAAAACGGGGTGCCGCCTGAATGTTAAGCCCACGGGGCGCTCGGCCGGCACTTCCCGCACTGGAGAGGACTACTTGTAGGGATTTTTTCACAGGGACTTGGGCCTGGAGGGTGTACTGCATCATCGTCGATGACACCTGGGTTTACTCTGGCGGTGCCTTCTCCTGTTTTTCCTCCTTCTCCTCCTCTTCCTCCTCCTCCCCCTCCTCCTCCTCCTCCTCCTCCTCCTCCTCCTCCTCCTCCTCCTCCTCCTCCTCCTCCCCCGTCCATATCCCTTCTCCTTCTCTTCCTTCCTCCTCCCTCCTCCTCCCTCCTCCTCCTCCTCCTTCTCCTCCTCCGTCTGCCTCCTCCTTGTTGCACCTTCTCCCCCTCATCCTCCTTGTTCAAAGTCCTCCCCTCATCTTCCTTCTTGCTCATCCTCTTCGGTCCTGCTTCTCATCCCTCCTCCTCCCCCCTCTTCCTCATCTTCCTCTTCCTACTGCTCCTCGTCCCTCCTCTTCCCTCCTTTTCGCTCCTCGTTCACCCCTCCCTCTCTCTCCCTTTCTCCCTCCTCCATCCCTCCGTCTGCTTCTTCTCCTTCTCCCTCTGCCTCCTTCTCGTCCTTCTACTCCTCGTCCTCCCTCCTCGTCGTCGTTGTCGTCGTCGTCGTCGTCCTCCTCCTCCTCCTCCTACACCCCTTGCTACTATCATTGAGCTTCCTGTCGTACCACCAGTTGTGTCCGTACGCCATGCTGGACGTTTCGCTTGGGACTTTCTTGCACGGTTTGTTCCTTGGGCAAACGAACTCCATGATTTGCAGGGGTCGCTTGGATATTCAAATTGGACACCCGTTTTGGGATGTCTGGCGGAACCTTATAAGGTCCTTTTGAATATTGCAGTTTGGCAGCCGTTCTCGGAGACCTGGCGGACCCCAGGTCTGCTTGGACAGCGAAGCTGGACACCCGTTCTCGGATGCCCGGCGGATCTATCAGAGGTCCTCTTGCACACTAGTGTCTGGCACCGGGCCTTGGATGCCTACCAGAATCCTCCGTGCGGAGGCGGGCTTTCCATGTCTGTCCGTCGACAGGGATCGGCATCTCAGCTTTGGACACGAGGAGCGGATGCCGATGCCAGTCCATTTGAAGGGAAGGGCATCCAGACCAACATGGGCCTCTGATTGACACCGTCGTCGTCGACGCCCTGACCCAAAACGACCTCAGCGACCTCGAGCTGGAGGAACTCCTCATCGTGGTGTCCGCCGTCTGCCTCCCTTACGACGCCGGCTCGTTCGTCTTCGCAGAGAATGTCTCGGTGACGCTGCGGTCGGCCCCTGGCAAGGAAATGCCAGCAGACGTGGCCGGCATGAAGGTCTCGCCCGCGTTCCTGGCGAGGTTCGCTGAGAGCTGCGCGGAGGACGAGGTGATCGAGATCTTCGACTCAGCTGGCCGGTCTTCTCAGCCAGACCTGCTCGAGCTGGCCAAAATCGCCCTGCAGCCCGACGACTGGGACATCGGGATCCTGCTCCGACCCGTCGCGTTCCCCGACCGTGCCCCCCCTGGGCGACCCAGGGTGCGTCGGCTTCCAGCTCTCCGTCGACTGTCAGATCGATGGGGAGAGGTACTTCACCGCCGACGAGCACGATGGCGAGGGCGTGGGAGACGACGAGGCCGACGCAGCCCGCGAGGCTGCCGCGCAGGAGTGGTCAGGTCCTCCACGTGGCGCCTATGTGGAGGGCAGCCCAGACGCGGAAGGAGGTGGGCTTCTGTTGGGGCCGGGGCGCCCATGTTCCCGCCCGCCTGGCGCCCCCCCTCAACGGTTGACGCGGCCGCTCGCCGCGCCGGCGGCAAGGCCCGCGCCCGTCGCCCCTCCCGCTGCAGGTGGGCGCGCGGGGCGCGCGGCGAGACAGGGGCCTGCGGCGAGCGGCGCCGAGAGAGCTGCAACCCCTCGGTGCGTCAACTTGTCGCGCGACGACCTGCAGAGCGCCCTCGGGAGCTTCGAGCGCGAGCTGCTGGAAGCCATCGGTGGCCAACTGAGGGGCTTCTCGGACCGGATCGATCAGGTCGAGGAGAAGCGCGGAGGCCCGCGGCTTCGCTTCTGCGGGGGCCTCCCATGCCACTCCGGGGTCGCTCGTCCAGGCGGGGTCTTCGGCGAGCGTGCTGGCGCCTGCCTCCTTTGCGCCGAGCAGATCCCCCTTCCAGGGCTTGCCTGCGGCGCCGCCCAAGACGGCGGCTCAGCTTCTTGGGGCGCGGCCCGCGACGACGCCTCCCCGGTCCAGGGCTGCGGGCGGGGGCCCTGGCAGCGGCTCGGGGGCTGCTTCAGCGGGCCGACGGGCCCCAACCGCGCGAGCGGGGCAGCGCCGCAGTGGGGGGCCGACCTCGACCTCGGGGCCCTCGTCGAGGCAGGCGGCCGCGACGCGGGCAGGGCCATCCCGCTTGCGATGCTGCAGGCGCTGGAGAAGGTCGGCGGCTCCAAGTAGGTGAAGGGGGGCGATCCCCCCCCCTGGGCGACCTCTTCGGGGGCGCAGCCTCGAGCCCCAGTGAAGCGGACCCAATTGCCAGAATCAATCGTGCCCAGGGGGCGGCAGGGCTCCTGGCCCTCAACTGCCCGCGTCGACGCCGCGGCCTTCACTGAGCTCGGCTGCGACGCCGCAGGCGCGTCGTGGAGCGTGGCGCTCTGCGACGTGCAGAGGATCAGATTCGGGCGCTTCGAGGACCGCGGTCGCTTATGGGAGATGCTTGCGTCGCTCCGCGCGCTGCGCAGGTCTCGGCAGTGCGACCTACTCGGTGCCCGGATCGGCCAGTTCTTGAAAGCCAAGCAGCAGTCGGTGACTGCGAGCGGGTATTGGAGGGTGGCCTGGGCGGTCGTTGGGGCCCCGGGCCCCCGCCCTGGAGTGGATCAGGAGGCGGCGGGCCGCGCGCGCCCAGCCGAGTTCGCAGCCTCGGTCGCCTACTTGCGGGAGACAGATGCACTCGAGAGCGCCCTCGAGAGGGGGCGGGGGCGCCGCCGAGGACCACGCCGTTTAGGGCCGCGTTTGGGACAAGAAGTCGACGAGTTTACCGGCGAGAAAGGGGCAGGGTGGCGGCGGCGGCGGCGTCGGTGGGGGCAAGTGATCGTCTCCAGATTGGTCCGACAGGTTCTAGCAGCGCCGAGGAGGGCCAGCTCGGGGGTCGGGCCGTCGGGGCGGGGGTCTCCAAATTCGCCCCGCCGGGGCATCTCGCCCCCCCGGCCTCGTCAATGGCTGCCTATGCCCTGCGGGCTTCCCTGTGAGCGTCGTGGGAGTGGAGCTGCGCCGCGGTCGCCGCAGGAACGTGCGCGGTGCTTCGGGGGAGACGTCGGCGGCGCCAGTTCGACGTGTCCGTCGCTTATCTTTCGTGGCCCTTGCTTGGGCGCCCCGCGGGCGGGTCCGCGGCGCCCTGCCTCGCCGCGCCCTGGCCGAGAGACAGTGGCGGCTGGTCCGCCAGAGTGATGATGATATATATATATATATATATATATATATATATTATGGCTATTGCCGCGTTGGGGAGTCACTGCCGCTCCCGACCGGCGGCGTCGCTGGCGCCCCTCGGGCCGCGGCGGGGCGCGCGAGCGATTCGCGCTTGGAAGGCGGCGCGCATTTTGTCGAGCCTCTCGCCCTCGCCGCAGACGACCTCGGCATCCTGTCTAGCGACGTGGCGACCTTGCTCCGGGGGCCAGTCGTGCCGCCTGAGTACTGCGGCATATTCCGCGCGCCCCGCGTATTTGACTTCGAGCGAAGTTGCCTTGCCAGTCAGCTGCCTCCCATGCGCATGCGCGTGGGCCGCTGGGCCGCGGTGGAATCGCGTGCGTGGGGTGCTCGGCTTCTGCGGCTCGTGTGTCCGGAGAGCTTCCGATTGCGCGCGGGCGCCCCTGTCCGCGCTGGGCTCTTCGGCGTGGTGAAGGAGGGCGACCGCAGGCTGGTGGTGATCATTGACAGACGTCGCTTCAATGCCCTCGAGAAGTCTCTGAAATAAGCCCTGTGCGAGTATGCCTCGGCCGAGGAGCTCCCCGGCAGTTGGCGCGCCCGCCTCGGGCGTCTCGCCGCCCTGCCCCGCGGTTCGTAGTTCGCGGAGCTGGTCTTGCCGAAGGGCGGGTGCTCGTCGATCTCCGCGGACGATGCCGAGGACTTCTTCGACCTCCTGCAGTGGCCGGGCGCTGGGGTCCAGGGCGCCATCCTTGGCTTTGACCTCAGGGCCGGCGAGTTGCTGGAGCAGGGGGTCCCCAGCGAGGTGGACTAAGTCCGCCGGCGCGGTCGTGGCAGGGTCGCGCGGGCACTGGCCGCTCTGGCCATGGGGGGCCGGAAAGCTTTGGGGGCGGCCCAGATCGCGCAGCGGCAGTGCCGGCGATCCGCGGCGGGGCGCTTCCGCGACGGGGGGTGGCTTGCCAAGGTCGCACCCCCCCCCCCCCCCCTGAGAGCGGCCCGTGGAAGGCGTCTAATCGGGCGACCGCGTGGTCATTGGCCTCTGCGACGTCCCTGGTGCCTCGGGCCCGATGCGACGGGGGGCTCCTCAGCGGGTCCAGCATGGGCGCGGGGCGCGCGATCGCGTGGGCATCGAGAAATGGTTCCAGGCGGCCCTGGACCTGTGGTCTGGTAGGGGGGCGATCTGTCCAGCGCGTCTCGATGTAGGCGGGGGGGTAGTTAATCTCACGCGGTTCGGAGTGGCCGCCGCGCGCGTCATCCTCGTCGGGGCCGCGTCGGTCGTTCTTATGAGGAGGCTGGTCGGGTGCTGGGTGCGCCATCCGGTGTCCTGCTGGGCCGCTATGTGTTTCTCGGATAAGCTCTACGCGTGGCTTCGCGTGCCCGGCGTAGGTTCCGCGGCGTGGCGACGGCTGCCGAATCCAGGGTTGACTAGCTGATGCGGCTCGTCAGCCTGTTCCCACTGTCCAGGAGCTCGCGCGACGCCGCGGTGGCAGAACAGGTCTTCGTCTCGGGCGCCGCCTTATGCGCTGGCGGAGTCGCGATGTCCCCGTCCGACGTGGAGGAGGCCGTCTGGCCTTGGGCGCGGGCTCCTCGACGGGCAGGCGCTGTGAGGTTCGAACCTTCTGGGCTCCCATGTTCCGACGAGTCTCCCGAGGTCCTGGGGGGCGGGGTCTGGGATGATTCCCTGGTCCGTTCTTGGATAGGGTCCGAACAGTTTACCACCCTGCTGTGCTTCAGGTTCTCGGGCCGACGTCGTATTGATGTGCAGGAGGCCGTCGCCTCTAGATCGCTGGTTTTGCGTGCGGTCGAGGGCCCAGACATGCATGGTCAACGTATCTCAGTGTTCATAGTCTCACAGGGTGTGCGCGGCGTTGCCGTCCGAGGGCGGTCGCCCAGCAGGGTCCTGAACGGGATCTTCGCCGTGGCCGTTCCGCCTTTGCTGTTCGCATGGTGCCCCCTCCTCTCCGTCTGGGCGCGGAGTGCCCGCGACCCTGCAGATGGCCCAGGGAGAGGTGCTGTGATCCGCGCAGCCAGACCGCATCGTCCCGAGGTGGTTGAATCGATTGCTGCCGTCGAGAAGCCCTGGAGCTGGGCCGTGGGCGCGCGCCGCTCAGTCTCTGGCCGCCGACCGCCCGTCTCCTGCGACGCTCGCGGCGGGCCGAAGGGCCCCCTCGGCCCAGCCCTGGAGCGCCGCGGCTGGATCGCCATCGGCCGCGACGTGCAGCGCGGCCCCCTCGCGGACCTCGCCGACCCCGACGTGCTCACTCGGGAGCTCGAGCTCATCGTGGGGGCCAGGCCGATGGCGGCCGCCCTGGGGCCCGCTGGCGGGACATCCTCACGATTCATAAGCTTGTGCTCTAGGTCGTCCCGGGCACGCGAGCGGCCGCGGGGGCCGCGGCGGCGCTCTGGGGAGTTCCTGGGCAACGAGTGCGTGGATGCCGGGCTGGACCTAGTGGAGGCCCTCGACCGCGTGGGCGCCCCTTGGGCGCGGGGGCAGCCTCGGCAATCTCTTCGGCGGGCTTGTCCGGAGCTCCAGGAGGCCCTCAGCGCGCGGGCCGCTCGACGGGTGCGTCATTGACTGGAGCGTGCGGCGCAGGCGTTGGCGCGAGGCCGCCGATTTGGAAGGGGCGGTGGTCGTTTCCACCCCTGCTGGCAAGGCGGCGCGACCGCAGCCGCAAGCACCTCGCCCTGGAGGGCGGCGTCAAGTGCGAGGGCGGCGTCTGGCGACGTCTGACGGCAGTGGCGGCCGAGTGCCCCAGCGAGAGGTTCGATGCGGTGTCCGAGTAGCTCGACGCGTGCCGTCGTTCGCAGCGCTGCGAATGCTCCTGGGGATCTTCTGCAGGAAAGGCGCCATGCGCTTGGGGATCAGAGACCTTTGTTGGCGTCCAGTTTCGCTGGCTCCAGACCCGCGGCCAATTGCGCCCGGCCTGGGCCGCGGTTGCTCGCTGGCGCAATTTCGAGCCGGTCGAGATGCGCGCGCCCTTCCCGTCGAGGTGCTCCTGGCCTTTGCCGTCGCTGCCCGGGCGCGAGGATGGGGCGGGGCGTCAGCTTGTGCTGCTCTCCACCAAGACATTGGATCGATGGCCAAATTTCCAGAGCGTCCTGATCGACGATCTTGAGCTGTTGAGATTGGTGGGGCGCGTCTTCGGGGCCCCCTCGCCGACGGGGGCGTTGCGCCCAGGACGGCCGCGCGGGCTGACTCAGGGCCAGCTGCCTCAGGGGCCTCGCCGGCCTCCGCGGCTCGCCCTGCGCTCGTTGGTCGCTGCGAGGAGGCGGGGCTATTCGTCGCTTCCGCTCGCTGCGGAACCCGGGGCTGCTGCAGTGCCGTGGGCGGTGGGGGGCTGCCGAACCCATGCGTCGCTGTCGCCGGATGGGCGCGGCCGCCTTGCCCTTCGCCGTCGTGTCGCCTGACGGCCGGCGGCGCGTCCAACGGCTTGCTCGAAGCGCCCCAGCTGCGTGGGGTGGTGGGCGACTGCGTCGCCAGCGCACCTGGGTGGCAAGACGCACTTCAGATGCGTGGCAATGGCGGCAAGGCTGGAACATGTCGAGAGATCTTTGTCTGCGGGGCTCTGTGAGGTCGCGCGGCAGAACCGGCGCCGCTGCGCCCCGACGCCTCTGGCCGCCTTTTGGTCAGCCTTCATTCGCAAACATCGCAAATTAGTTGCTTTGGAAAGCGAGCGTTGGAGGTCATGCGAGCGCAGCGGTCCTCATAGTAGAAGGAAGTGAGCTGCAGGTTTCTCGCCCCCCCCCCCCGCCCTCCCGACCAGCTTTTGACCGGGTCGATAGAGGGGGAGAGAGATCGACTATACGTAACAGTGACCTTTCGCCGGAGTGACCTTTGGTGCGGGCACAGATGGGTCCCCAGATGTCTGAAAACGAAGCGGTAGCAGCGGCTTGCGCACCCAGGTTTGGTCTCCCCGCGGCCCCCCAAAAACCGCGCACCAAAGGTCACTCTTACCCAGGGTCACTCTTGCGTGTAGCCGAAGAGAGAGAGAGAGAGAGAGAGAGAGAGAGAGAGAGAAAATGAGAGAGAGAGAGAGCTTTGTCTTTGGGGCCCTGTGAGGCCGCGCAGCAGAGCCTTTGCCGCTGCGCCCCGGCGCCCCTAACCGCTCTTTGGCCAGCCTTTTTTTTTTTTTTTTGGTTTGTTTGTTTCTCGAAAACTTCACGCATGGGGTGCTTTGGAACACGAAGTTCGGATATCAGGATGAGGACGATGACGGTGATAATGATGATGGTGATGCTGTTGAGGATGAGGATGCCGTTTGCAATGCTGATTCTGCTGCTGCTGCTGATGCTGATGGTGGTGGTGCTGATGATGATGCTGGTGGTGGTAGTGCTTGCTGCGCTGAAGACGCTGATGATTCGTGGAAGGGGTAGTAGCAGGATGGGAAGTAGAGGCAATAGCAGGCAGACATGATGAGGCAATGAAGAACCTTCGGGCAGGAGGAACGGAATGTATAACAAGGAGGATCATGAGGAACAAGAAGGC